CAGGAATGGCTTCTTGGTAGTAAACTCTATAATTCCATCTCCACTTCTGGAAAATAATTAGAATGGGAGAGTCGTAATGTAGGTTTTTTAAAACTCTTCATAACTTAGTTCTGTAATCTGGTAAACAGGCCAAATTACACTATACATACTCTGTGATATAGTGAATGTTGACTTATTTGGCTTAAAATAAGGTGTTTAAGAAACAGCAAATCTCTCACCCACTAATCTACAAAACCATTCTCCTATTCCTTAGGATAGAGCTGATCATAAGATAACAGACCATGTCCCTGTATTGAACTGAAATCTGCTTTTGGAACATATCTGTCTTTTGATTTAATTCTGTTTGAATTAAGAAAAGTCTGCACAGAGGAAAACAAACTTATGGTTACCAAAGGAGAAAGGGGGGGGGGGGGGATAAATTAGGAGCTTGGGATGAACAGATACACACTACTATATATAAAATAGGTAAACAACAAGGTCCTACTATACAGCACAGGGAACTATATTCAGTATCTTGTATAATGGAAAAGGATCTGAAAAAGAATACATACATACATACATATATATATATATATATATATATATATATATATATAAAAATAACTGAATCACTTTGCTGGACACCTGAAAGTAACACAACCTTGTCAGTCAACTATACTTCAATTTTAAAAAAAGAAATTAAAAAAAAAAAGGGGGGGAGTCAGTTGAGAAGTCTTCTTTTGAATAAAAAATTCAAGTTTTATTTCATGAAAGAGATCTTTTTAAAAACCCCGCAATAACGTGACACCCGCTTCTCCCTTTAGGGGTTCTTTGATATCCCCGTGGATAACTTGTACGCGGAGCCCGCAGTCCTGCAGTGGATTCGGGAGAACATCACGGAGTGGAGAAACTGCATCATTGTTTCACCTGACGCCGGGGGCGCCAAAAGGTACTGCACAGGCCCAGGCGGCACAAGGCAGATTTAGATTTGTGTGTTTGCCGACTGCTTTTTCCTTTCCATATGTGTTAGATAAGGAAGCATGTCTTAAATTACTGAACAGTTTATTTTGCAAATAAGCAAGTAAGTAGCCAACAGGCTTCACCTCCAGAGCAGAGAGCTGTCATCTTTAACATTTCATCATTCATGAAAGAAAAAAGAAATACACACAGACATTTGGTCTCAGCAAAGAATGTTTTTGAGTTGGTTTTTTGTTCGCGGTACGCGGGCCTCTCACTGCTGTGGCCTCTACCATTGCGGAGCACAGGCTCCGGACGCGCAGGCTCAGCGGCCACGGCTCACGGGCCCGGCCGCTCCGCGCCATGTGGGATCTTCCCGGACCGGGGCACGAACCCGTGTCCCCTGCATCGGCAGGCGGACTCTCAACCACTGCACCACCAGGGAAGCCCTATTTTGAGTCTTTTAAGTTTTCATTTCTGATTATAAAAGCAATGAGCCCAATTGGAAAATAAGGCTTTTACTTAACAACACGATTGACCAAGCTAGTTCTTCTTACTACAAACATTTAGAAATGGAAGCCAAAATAGAACAATTTTAAAATGCGTGTCCGCAGAGCAGCCAGAAAGAAAAGGATATGTCTGTGGCCAAGAAATAAAGAAGGCTGACAGCCGTGCTCGGGGTGGCCTGGGGTATGGGTGTCAGATCCAGGAAGACTCTGGCGGGTGGCTTGGGAGAGGCTATAATGCCCTCATGGGGGCCTCCAGAGAGAAGGGAGATGGCAGGGAGACCCCTCCCTGCAGCCTGGGGAGGAAAGCCAGTCTTTCCCGACGCTGGGAAAATTGACCCCAGGCCACAGAGCCACGGTCGAGGGAGAATTCCACAAGCCCAGCTGTTCAGTAAGCACTCCCCGCCGAAGACCCCCTCATTGTGCCTGACTATCCCAGTTAGGAAGCCGAGGGGGCGCAGCCCTCCGAGAGCCAGCGCCTGCAGATAACAGGGCGGCGGGCAGCCAGCCCCGTGGGCTGAACAGGACAGTTACTAGGCTGTAAAAGGAGGATGCTGGACGGAAATTGACATGGCACTAAAAGCATCAGAGCGCAGGTGCTGCACTGAATGGCATAAATAATGGTACTGAGTAGCAAATCCAGAGGGCTTTACAGAGACTGAATCAAAGAAAGAGCAATCAGTACAGACAGTTGAGGATCAGGGTGAAGATGATGGAATGCC